ATTTTCTGTTTTTGGCCCGAGGTACTTCCGAAAGTTTAGGAAAAGTTTTCAAATTAATATTATTTTTCCATGGAAAACTTTTTGCGCCATTTTGTTTCAAAATTTTTCTTAAACTTTCGGAAGTACCTCGGGCCAAAAATAGAAAACCTTCGGGGTTATCGAGCGTGATGAATACGAAAACTCACTTTTCAGTAACTCTAAACCAACTTTATTTATGTTTCGGTGATATGACAGTACTTCACCAGAAAATGGATAAAACTGTAATAATCACTCTTCAGTTTTCCGCCGAGCACAACCTCAATTTATTTCATATATGAATCGATTTTTTATTTCTTCGAAAAAAAAGAATGAAAGGTGTTTTCAGTCAAAACATCGCTTCTATATTCGTTGAAAACAACTGTAAATGGCGAAAATGTCGAAAAGTATGTATAATTTCAAATAATACAAGGTCGGTCTACTATGCATAAGTAGGTACACTCACAGACACACACAGGTGAATGCTTCCATTAATGATCCTTAAAAATGGGTATCCGGTTCTATCGCATGTAGTTTGTTCGACTGTTGCGATTTGTAACTATATTTCGATATTATTTGTTGATATTTTACGTCTTTCAGCCGCATCTGTCGTCGAATGTCCATCGAAACAATAACCTGATGAGACCCTTGAGAAAGGTCAAAACTAGTCGTGGCTACTGTCTTTTCATGATACTCACCCTCACACCCTCATCCTCAAGATATAACCGTCAATGAAGAAGCGTAGAAATAAAATAAGATTACTTTATTTCGTCTCATCATGTGATTTGTGGAATAGCATTAGGAATATATTTCCCCGTATGTATCTCTTCTTGCTTTTCAAAAAAGCCTCGTTTGAGGAAAGAAAATGTTTATTCTATCAAAACCAGTGGGTAGTTTATTTGGGTTTTGTAACCTACTATATGCTTCTCAAAGGAGATGACGGTAATCGCTGAAACTCTGGCGCATGTAAGGAAAATAGACTTCAAATGGTATACCTAAGGTTGGATGATGAAAACAGAGTGTTAGAAAGAGGTCTGTTTTTGAAGGTGCGCGTGAGTTTAAAAGTAGTTTCAATTTATATAGCGAAATAATAAAGGATGAATAATATATTTGTGGGAAACGACTCCAATTCTAACATGTATACAACATTTAGATACTATCCTAATTAATTCAGTGCCACGATTGGAATAATCTAAATAAAGCAGCATTTTGCTATGAATCATATTAACCTTGAAAACTATCGCTTTTTGTCGATGAGTTGAGTATCGGTCGTTTATACGGATAAAAAGCTGAAAAAATGGCTATTACCTCTGAATAGTTTCCTTATCACAGTTTCTCTGCTCCAAAATGAAGAAGTAAAAATAGATTGAGAGATCCAGACTGCGCTATCACATGACGATGAAGTAACCATGCTGTCGTTTTGTTCGCATTACTCCTCCTCATCATCAACGAGAATGAAAGATGATGCATTGTATCGGTACATTACGTATAAGTTTATTTACGGTCATTGAGAACAAAAAAGATATCTACTGTTGCGATTTTTTCTCTAAGAAATAGTTGTACGTTTGTGGATTAGGCAATTTATTTGTGATTTTCGGATCATCTGAATAATTGTAAAGTCAAAACTATCTGATGAGACCCTTCAGCAAGGTCGGAACCGGTCATAGACTCACGCACACACACCCCTCCCCCCGACGTGCAAACTAAAAACGAATCATTTCTTCGACTAAAATCATAGAGCTTGTTTATTAAAGTAATGAAATAAAAAGGATAAGATCAAATAGACCGTTAGTCCGTGTCCATAATATGTTCATCACTTTACATGTGATACTTTGGGGCCTCACTTTCTACTGCTTTCCATAAGTTTTCTAGTTCTTGAACGATATCCGTACTGAGCTGAACTCCTCTAGAATCACAAAGATTTTCCGTAAGTTGTTCCATATTGCTTGCTCCCAAAATAATTGCATCTCCTTCTTTCAGTTGTGAATGATTCAGCAGCCATGAGAAACAGGCTTCCGAAGCCTTGATATTAAGTTTCTTGCAACGATTTTGAAATGCCTCTAGTGCCGAGAAAAAGGTCTCTTTGCAATAAAGACCTGCGTAATATTCACCACCCGGAGTGGAAGCGTCAAATCGAGAATTAGCTGGAGCGTTTTTAATTTGATCTGGCGTCTTGATTAAGAATCCTCCAGCAAGTGGTGAGTAAGCATAGAAATGTATTCCTAGCTTTCTTAAAAGTGGAAATAATTCTTGCTCACTCTTTCGTGTGATTGGATTGTAATTTCCTTGATACACTGATGGAAGAACGTAATTATTTTCTTTGCAAATATTGTACATTCGTTCAACTTCTTCGGCGGTGAAATTGGAAAGACCAAATCTCTTGAAACTTCCTCGTTTGTATAGGTCGTTTATCGAACCGGCTGTCTCTTCGAAAGGAGTTGATCGATCTGGTGCATGAAGATAATAGATATCAACGGAGGATCGGTTCATTGCCTTTAAGCTCGCGTCACAGTGTGCGATGATATTTTCTTTCGTCAACTTTTCCGTAAATGAATTTGCCTTGGTGGAAACTGTAAACGTTTTGAATTCTTTTGTTTCACCAAGCAATTCTTCGCTTGTTCCTCCTCCGTACAATCTTGCCGTATCGATTTCATCAATTCTGTTTTCTTTGAGAACATTAAGAACTTGAGAGACTTGTTCGGATGTGTTGAATCCTTTCCCTGTTTTCTTGAAACTTCCCGTACCAAATACTCTCTTTACTTTAGACATTATTCGATCGAGGTAATCAAATCAATCAATCAAACGACAGTGGGTTGAGTGGTCACCTAAAAAGATACTTCTGAGACTGACGTTGGAAGTTTCTCGTTTTTTCTTCTTTCTTAGATTGCATCTCTTTGATAACCCTGTCACCGCTTCTCTCTCCTGGTAAGAGCTACAGCGTCTCTGATCACACCACTTACTTGTTTAGATCTCAGTGTAAGCAAAATGCTATTTCAAGTCAGAGTATTAACACGACTAGTGCAAACACTTTCGTCCTGTCTTCGATGACGATGCAGAAAAATACTGTGAAGGTCAGAGAAAGGAAAAAGCATGACAAGGCAAAAAATGTGGTGGGGTATAACAACGCAAGCATTTTCTCTTACTTTCATTTTCTCTTTCTTTCATTTTCTCTTTCTTTCATTTTCTATCAGCTCCTTTCAATTGCGTCCCGAAATTCGAAAGAGGCACACAAAAATAGATTTCCTTGAAACGTACACGGTCAAATAGAGCTCGACGATTAGATTCCGAATATGTCCTTGGAATTGAATTTTCATCAAGTTTTCATTTCTATCTAACCGTTAAATTGAGCGCTTTTCCATTAAACTCATAATAAGCGCTATTTTTCTTCTGTAGAAGAGTAGATCAACATTTAGACTATAAAATAAAATTTGTTTTGTTTCATTTCGTTCGTTAAAGAAAAACATATAACTGAGCTTTATATTAAAATTGGACTACACAATTGATAAAATAACACGAAAACTTATTGCATTTTGTAACCATAACAGACTTTTCTCTTTCTGCAAAAGAAGAGAAAAAGAAAGGAGAGAGAATAGTATTGATCCTCTACGTATAGAATATAGTCTACGTCTACATTCTACGCATTTCATAATTTTTGACGGCTTTCCTTACAAGATACGCGTTTGTGTAACAGCATTTGGTGAAGTCGGCTGTAACCCAAGAAAAAGGTTCAGAAGTTCAATCTCTTGTAGGCTTTTTCTAGTCTCACTAAGGACTACATGTGTTCGGTATGGAATGAAAAGTGATCGATCGAGTGAGCAATTTTTGCACTATACTGCGTAACAAAGCCGGTTTTTCCTCTCTTTTTTTTAGTTTTTGACGTAGAAAACTCGCTCAGAACCTCTCATGAAGCCTTAAAAAGTGGTTTTCTGGCGGTTTCGCGACGTACTCTATCAACCGGACAGATCAAAAAGAATTTTTAGCGCAAATGGTTTCTCGGTTTGAAAACCAAGATCTTCAAAAACCGGGGCTTTAAAGTCAAAATTAGTCCAAACCATTATGAAATTCGCGATCAGCATGCTCGATTACGCCCGGTCAACTGAGTCTCAGTTCAAAAGCGAGGGAACACTTGGTGGCCTTTCCTCGTAAGAAACAATTTTGTTCTACACTCGAGGAATCGTACCGCTTTAAAATCTACTCTATACTAAGGTAAAAATTTGTGCCTGTAACTAATGTAAAATTAAGTAACATTTGCAATCTTTCTTGAGCAAAACATGTACAACGTATAAAATAACATTCCGCTGTTTCAAGAATGATGCAAGTCTGGCATAAAGGACTGGGTACAAAATATCGCTTATACTGATTCGCTGAACAAAACTAAGTCCTAACCGCATCCTTGTCATGTGAGTAATATTACGTGTATGTCCAAAAAAAGTGTGTATGTAAATCATTTCGGTGGAAATGATAGAAAATTCAGATTTTGCTTAACTTTGTGGAGAATTTGTTAGAGAACGGATGTTATGATCTAGGTCATTCTAGTCTTGAATGGTACTAACTAAAACTGATTTCTCGACATGATTGATATGACACATTGCAATACGTATATCTAAAGTATCGCGTTTAAAGCATCGCGTCTTCCAAGTGTTGATATCCTGTTTTAAAACGATGAAATTTCTGAAAGAAGTAAGAGTCCTGTTATGCACGATTTTGTAAATAAATAATAATTTGCTGTGCTTTATACAAGGGGGAAAGCACGGAATCCTGGAATCCCACGGAATCTCATAGAATCCAATGGCATCCAAAGGAATCGAATGGAATCCAAAGGAATCAATACACGATGACGACGACATGAGTTCAGAATCAGATGATTGTGAATATGAAAACAACGATGATGAAAACAACGATAATAATATTAGTACCGATGAAGACGAGGATGCTTCATCTGATAATGATGAAAATGTTGAACGTGTTCAATCTATAAAAACAATTTTTTCTGGAACGTGCATCAAAGATAAAATTAATCCTGATTTAGCAAACTCATATTTCAAAGTGAAAATTAATGATACGATGAAATTCTTACATAAACAGTCAGCAGTATGGCTGTTGACTGACAAAAATGATCGTCTGTCAGCCGATAGGTTATTACGAGTTATGGAAGACAGCAAGCAAAATTAAATAAAAAACGATTCGAACATTTTCATGTGTTGAACATCAATTATATGATTATTGACATCAAAAATATAAAATATTTTTCATTAATAAAAGAATCTCACTGATGCAATTATATACTTAGATATCTGATAAGATTGCTAACCTTTAGTCCCCGGCCCGCTGACTTCTAACGTTAGACTATTGCTGCTCCCAAGGAAAGACGAAAAGGCGCAATGTACTCACCTGTCTTGTCAGAATGGTGTCACTTGATAATGAATATATTTTAGAAAATAGTAATAAAAAACACAAAGAAACCAAGAGTATAAAACGATGAAGAAGAGATCAAGAATACGATCTAAGATGCAATACTAATCACGACTAACTCCTGACTACTTTTAAACTGCTCCTCCTCCGAATGAATAATAGAAAAAAACGGTACGCTCGAATATATATTATATCGAAAAGAAAATCATAGAGAGAGACGACGAGTATGAATCAAACAAAGAAAAGAAGGAGACCTAGAATAAGATAAAAAATAATCAGAGATAAGGACTGGTCAATGATAACAAATATAGGAAAGAAGAGAAAGAAGTAGACTATGGACCGTAAACTATATTACGACCTCAAAATAAAAATAAAAAACAAAACATGTGAATAGAATTATGTACAAAACATGCTTTGGACTAGTGCGCTAAGTATATACTGTATACTTAACAAAGATTAATCGATCTGAATCTGTTGATAGATAAATGAGGAGAACGGCTCGATCGCAAAGCTTTTAGTGGAGGTAGTGTGATCCTATGAACTACAACTCAGCAAACAAACAACGAGTCATCGATATATACATATATCAATAACTACAAACAAATCGAATAAAGAAAAACGAAAAAGAGATATCAGCATGGAAACCTGAGGGTGATACAGATGGTATCCTTTGACAGTTTTAGAAGTTTATTCGAAATCTAGATGAGTTCTAAGGAAGCGAAGAGAATCCTGTGGAATCCTAGAGAATCCTAAGGAATTCTAGAGAATCTTAGAGAATCCTTGGAATCCAGGGAAATTCAGGATTCCAGGATTCCTTGCTTTCCCCTTTGGCTTTATAACTGTCTCATATATGGTATACCAAGTTCTACTTGTAATTTCAGTATGTTTGTACCACGGCAAGCTCCCAATATGAGCAGAAGAGCTTCATTCTGTAGTTTCTCTAATCTTTCAATATTCGCTTAAGCAATGCTGCTATATAGAAGTAGCCTGTATTGGATAACAAGTATGACGTACGACAGATAAATTTGCCTCAAGGCTGATCTGGCAAGTGTAAAGCGTAATGCTCTGAGGATGTTCAAGTTATTCAGAACGTTCAATAGATGCGTTATTTGTTCATGTCCACATTATGACGGAACAACGAAACGAATGATCAAAAGAAAGAGGAAGAGATAAGTGAGATAATACTTCTTCCAGATGGCGATACTCTTTCAAGAAAGCAAGGCATAGACAAAACTGTCAATGAATATAAGAAAAAGACAGCAATCGACGATTGACCCATCATTGTGGACGGACGCGAATTTATGGGCGAGCGACCATTACAAGGTAGGAATTGTTCACTTGTAACAGTAATGAAACGTCCATCAATTCTACAGTCTAAAGTCATATGAAACGGCCACACGTTTTTATATCTATTCAATTGTCCTAGGCTAAAAATATTCTTCTACTATTGAACCCTTTCTAAACTATTGCGTTTAAACTCTACTCACGTTGATGAATTGTTCCGAGAACATTTTGTCAAATCTTCAGAGAAATAACTTGGACTTCATCTCACTTACTACGATCTACTGATTTCGGCGCCACTCGTCATTCAAGCGCCACTGCCATATTAATATGCAAAAGAGCGTCAATGTAGGTCCTCAGCCATCTTGCGGCACCCACTTTTTGCTCATTGAGTATAGCCTATAATATATATCTATACATTCTGTATGTGAGTAGAGCCGTCGAAAAAGTAAAAAGTAGTAAAATTGATATTGATTTGAATCGGTTCAAACAATATCAACAAAGAGATTATCAGGAATATTTAACATCGAAGAAGAAAACAATATTACGTGATTAAAGATGATGTCTTATACAAGAGATCACAGCGGAAAAATACGATAATTTTCCCTCCAGTTCTCCTTCAGAGCATGATTAATGATGTTCTATTGACATATCACAATTCTTCGCATAATGGAGCTCATCTTGGTGCTCAAAGAACATATTATAAAATTAGAGACAGGTAGTTTTGGAGAAATATGTTCAATGATATTCAAAGGCATGTTCAACAATGTCCTAATTGTGCAGTCAACAAACATTCACGGAGGAAACCTGATAGTGCTTTAAAACCATTACCACCACCACGAGGGGTATGGGTAACATTAGCTACGGATTTTCTTACAATAACACCATCCTCAAAAACTGGAAATAAATATGTGATTATCATTACTGATTTATTGTCAAAATTTGTGATTGCCAAACCAACTCGTGATGAAACATCAATCACTGCTGCTAAATTTTTTGTTGAAGAAGTTATTCTTAAATATGGGGCACCTATTCAACGATGTACAGTTGTCAAAAGCGGTTTCAGCATATAATAATACTCGGCATGCAACAACAAAAATTGAACCATTCACATTAGTGTATGGCCGTCATTGTCAATTACCATTTGATCTACCACAAACAATAACAAGTGTCGTTCAGCCACATGAATATGTTAAGCGTCTCCATTAATATATTAGTCAAGCAAAACAAATGGTTCAACGAAATGTTGAACAACAACAGCAGAGAGCAAAAAGCAGATATGATAAAAACAGAAGAAATCCAAGTTATGATGTCGGCGACTATATATTGGTAGGAAGACTTCGAAGGATATCAAAATTAGCACCCAAGAAAGATGGATCATATAGAATTACTCAAAAACTTGGTCAACTATCGTATATGGTACAAGATTCCAGAAATTTGTCGTACGTCAGACAGGTCCATGTTCAACGAATCCAACCCTATTATCAACCACAATAATCTTTAACAAAAAGGGAACAAATGTCGAGTCAATTCATTTACACATGTTATGTTCAAGTATAGAAATCATTTGATCAATTTCAAGTCTGGCCAACTTATTTTTAATTTTATGATAGTTATGGGATTGACATTGTTTGAGTAATAATGGCTCGATCATTCGTCAGAGCGTGAATTCATTCCTCCCTCTCTGTTAACCCTTCTCCTCTAGGTCTTGCTCTACAACGGCAATTAAATTGTCTGGTTCATTGACTATTGACACTTGGTGTTGAAAGGTACCATTCATTATCAGCTGTCATTTGTATGTCAACAGCAAGTAAAACAACAACGGATATTTAATAAAAATATATGTTCGACAATCGTCTTTGAAGACCCATCCATTAAGAGTCAACTCTATTCACCAACGATAAATACAAGTTGGGAGATGGAAGGCTGACGATTAGTGAAGGAGTCAACGGATATATATACAACACATCCAACAACTGTCATTTCAATTAATAGATGCTTCAAAACAAAACGATGAATAACAGAAACTGATTAAATTACTCGTTCCATTCTTTTTTTGTGAACATCATATCAATGACAACTATTGGATCTTTGTTTCAAAATATTTTTACTAAAGAATTTTCAATAACGACCTACAAAAGGGATTTGTTTTGATAACATCGAAATATATATATATGTGTGGAGTGTGTGAGAGTGAAAGGATCAGTTTGCGGAAGAGGAAAGATGCTCATCAGATTTTTTTTTTGTTTAAAATTACATAATCAATCCTTAGTCTCTCTTTTTTTGACATTTCATTGTCACATGAGACACACAAATTTCAATTTTTTTATTCAGGTTTTTTTTTTCTATTCAATAATCTAGGACAAGAAAAATAATAGTACAAAAAGCTACTTATTTCTTAGATGAAAAATGTTATTCGTCTAACTACTGAATGATGATCGTCTCTTGTCAACATACTCACAAGTAAACAAATAATGTTGTTATTTATGTGTAATAGTATTATCTTTTTCTCTTTTTAATTTGATCAAAAATAATATCCACTGTAATATGATATACAATCTTGAGTGCAGCATCTTTCTGTGACTGTTCTTTTATTCTAACGTTATTTTTTGTTGATGAGAAGACTACAGCATATTTTTTTCCATTTTTTCGTACACTATGTTTTGAATTCTTTTCTCAATCACATAGGTATTGATAACACGGAAAAAGTTACAAAAATTCTTACTCACACTCTCCCATTTTACAACAAAACACTAACAAATGTTAACGAAAAAAAAGAAGAATACTTGAATTTGATTTATGTTTCATTGAAATAAAAGAAGAATACCAGAGCAAGAGCAGACAAGTTTTTTTCCGTTTTCAATTCTCTTTTTTTTAAATTTGATACTGTATGTTGAATGTATGAATTAAATGGGAAGAATATGAATAGACACAAAATATTAGAAAGAAAAAAGTTTTTGAATTAAAATACAGAATAGTTCAATTGAAAGATTCATTAATTCGTTCAACCTTGTATCTTTCAAAACGGTCATCCAGCTTTTCTCCTATCGATCGTTAATGAAAATGATGTTTTGTTTTAGTGAACTATACAGTTTAAATGGTTAGTAAACACGGATTGTTTATCATCCATAGAATATGTTTGAGATTCAAATCATATATATAATTTAGTTTTTTAAATATACCAAAATTTTCAGAACTGAAAACAGATCAATTGACAAATATTTGAATGTAGTAAATAGTCGTGTGATTTTTTTGATTTTTCTTTTGAATTCTTGTATATATATCGTTATATATATATATGTATACACTTCTCTAACTTATTTCACTCGCATGAATAAACGAAATATTGTTATTTATTTTACATTATTATATTCTGACAAGTTTCATTGAAAAAAAAAATACATATTCGTCAAAAAAAACATAAAACTTTTTCTTTGGCTAGAGTACTAATTCTTAATATTGTTTTCAAATCAGTATTTCTCTTAAAATAAATCAAAATGTAATTTTTTAAAAATACTTACGCTTGATCAAACTAGAATTCTCATAAAAAATATCATTCTTTAAAAGAAAATTCGATCAGTATATTTTTTTGTGTTTATAAATCTTTGGACTATTTATTTTTGATAATACAGAAAAACAAACAACTTTGACGTTTGAATTAAACTAATCTTGTCTAATTAACATCCCAATAATTTGGAAATTCGAAAGAATACGACGACACAAATATACAATGTGTAAACGTTAACAAATTTTGTTTTTCTAAGATGATCTCGGATAAACCAAGAAAAATTTGTTTTCGCATCAAGATAATCATCTAACTTTTGATGTCTATAAAGCACAACTAGGCATGTAACGAATATAAATCAGTCATCTCAAAGATGAAATATTTTTCACATGAAGAAGCCCTGAACCCGACCGAATCTCAATGTGAACTATGAACGCGCTCTATCCGATCCTGATGTTGGATTTCATCTAGTTTTTAGAAAGTTACCAAGATTCGGGTGGCAATTTTTTGGCATTTTTCACCGAATCGTACCGAACCTTGGTATCTTTTTAAAAACTAGATGAAATCCAACATCAGGATCGAATAGAGCGCACAAAATTGTTCATATTTCACATTGAGATTCGGTCGGGTTCAGGGGTTCTTCATGTAAAAAATATTTCATCTTTGAAATGAATTATTTGGATCGTTACATGCCTAAACACAACGCGTGTCAATTGTTCAAACAAAATCAAACAGTTATTCCGTTTTGCAGAACGTCAAGATGTTGTTTACTGACTGATATACGTAAAACACACGACAGATCCTCTACATCATGAATTGATTAATTTTCTTCGTTTAAACAATCGCGATCTTTACCCTGATAAATTTCATCATGATGTATATGATAGGTTTATTTTTTAATAGAAGTACTTAATAATCAGTACTTTACTTTCTAAATACAAAAAAAAAAGGTTTTTTTCTCTTCAAAGAAGTCGGTCATTCACAAATTAACATTTGATTGAACAACGACTTTTTTTTCTTGATCCTCCCTCATTGTCACATTTAAACATGAAGTATCAAATCCAACGACGATTGTGAAAATTGACCGCAACACTGGAGGAGTAACGTAGCATTCAAATCTATAACTGGATTTGTTGAAATTGTAAAATCAGGAAATTCAGAAACCATAATTGCCCCAGGTAATAGCGTTTTCCGCATTGTTGCATTTTGCATCAATTCACTTGATTTATTTATAATGGACGATAAATTATCGAATTCAAGTTTAAGACCTGTTAATTTTTCTAATGGATCACGATTTTTAATATATTTGTCGAGCCAAGCATTAAAGGTTGTAGCAATATGTGAGATGAATATGTGGGACGAACTGATGTCATTTCTATTAATGTTATTGTTAGTAATTGTGAAGTCAAAGGTTGGGGCGATTGTTGACATTTAGTGATTTTTATTAATGGAGCAATTTCATGACGGATTTGTTTCGATCAAGAATTTGAAATAAAATTAGCAAGTTTTTTTTCTTCATCGGCATAAAATTATGGAAGCTTTTCAATTATTTTCGGATCATTATTTTCTTCTATTGTTTGAATAATGTTTTCGACCTTTTTGGTGGTGGTGACAATATTTTCTTATTGTCTTACTTTCATACATTCACAGGAAATTAAGCATCTACTAATATCGCTCAAAAAAGGACCTTTTTTTGTCACAGCGTCACAGCATGTAAAAGTTATCTGCTGCTCCTGAACTTGAATCGAATTTTCTGGTATAATGAGCCTGCATGTTCAACTACACAATGGTCTCACAAATTTGTTCTTGTTGGATATGATACAGTTACTAATGACATGGCGATGCAGGAGGCAAAAAGCTTTTGGGGTGAAGCATAGGGTATGAATGGTTATATTTGGATAAGTCGCAACAAGAATAATCAATCTAGTATCGCGAGTATGGCAAGTTATCCACTTGTTTAGAAGTGGATATCTCAGTATCTTTTCTTCTGCTCTATCTCCTTTTTGTTATAATGGCATTAACAACATAATGAAAATAAAAATAAAAATTGGATTCTCCTTAACTATTTTTCTTATCCACCTACTAAATACTAAGAACTCATGCATACCATAATGGAAATTAAGCTTATATACAGAGAATCGCACAAAATGTTAATACAATGGAAGACAAAAACCGAATATAAAATCATGATTTATCACAAAAATCGTCAAAATCACGGAAAAAAATTAGAGATTTATTCTGTGTAAGTTCACGATTATTATTTCGATTAGTTGCGATTAATCTCCGATTTTTTAGCGATTTTGAGAATTTTGTGCCGTTATCTTTCACTTCCCTTAGAATAATATGTGCAGAAAAGTCTGTTGGAGATCTAAGCAGTATCTGCTGTCTATTAATAAAATATGTCGACACCTACTATTTCGGAAAAAGAGAAGGAAAAGAATAATCATCAAATCGCGAGAAAAAACAACAGAGAATGACGCCTTTTTTTTCTTGCTTGCCATCTCCTTTTAGTAACTAGAAAAATGACGTATGCACTTACAAACAGAACAGAATTTTTTTCCTTAGTTTTTTCCGCAGGTGACATAGTTAGAAGAAAAAAAATCGACAGTGCCGCAAGCATTAAGAAAAGAAAAGAAAGACTGTTAGTCATTCGTTCATGTCAATGCATGGTTTATGTTCGAGGCATTGAAGAAAATGGCTACCGTTACCTCTTCAGACGACTCAAGTGACAAAAACTTAGGAAGATTTTCGCTTGTGTGGCTCGATGCTGAAGTAAACCGGTCACTTCTGTATCTTGATGTTCGAAAACAACTACAACTTATTACTCGTTGTATTAATACATTCAAATCAAAAGATCAATGCGAAGATTATCTTCGACAGGCGACCTATGATTGTCACTTTCTTATTGTAAATTCAGATCTGGGACGTCATATTGTACCTCGCATTCATGATCTTCCTCAAGTCAATTCTATATATATATATGATTTGAAGCTCAATGAAGATGAACCGCAATGGATCAACATATATGCTAAAGTAAACAAGAAATACCAAACGACCCTGTACCATATAATGGGTCCTCTTTAGTCCAAAAGCTATCTATACACTTTTGTAGAACAACTAGAGGCGCGTAGGATGGCAGAGTCAGTTGGGGTACTTCGAACCATTTGAAGACAAATTCGTCTTTCACAGCTAGTTTTCAGTTGTTTGTTGTCCAAAAAGCGAGCAGATTTATCTACCAAAACCCCCCTGACCAGGGCTGCAGGACGCACGCCGAAACTGACTGCCATAGAGTTCTTAACTCTGATGTGGCAGTCAGACGGAGTGAGGCCCATAAGAGATTTAACTAAACACATATTATTACATTACTGAACAGAATAAAATTATCTATCACATAACAAACTAAAGCGACATATTTGACAGGCCTCGTGCTGTTTAATTTGTTGAAATATAAGTTAACTAGTTAAATATTATATTTTTGCTTTCGTTACGAGCTAAACCCAAGGATCCCAACGACCTACTTTTGCACATTCAGCGTAAAAGTTTCCGAGTGATTTGCTTGAATATCATTTTCAATGACTGAAACAACTACGAAACACAATAGTTGTCTATGCATTAAATTCTATCGTCCTAATACTATAACAAATACAGATTCTTTCATTCTGTTTTATTCTAGTAAGTTAATTATTTCCTTTCTCTTTCCTTTTCTCTTTTCGTCAATAAAACATTATCAGAGTTTAAAGCTCTCTCAATCATGCAACACGCAATAGCTCTTTATTATCTTCCTTCTTCCACATTTCGACATTTGTTCTATATAAGCATATCTTTTAAAAGCTTATTTTATCTACTTTTCTACATGTGAATTGAGATGAACATGCATAATGGTGGTAAAATTGTTTAATAGATGAATGGATGAATATATAACCGCAACTGTTTCTATTACCTTCACTTCATTTCTCTTTGATCTTTACCACAACTACTACGTCGCACTTACACGTCAAACTACATTTTTCACTTGAATGAATAAATTCGGAGCATTTCAGTAGCCTACTATAGGAGTGATGTCTCCAAGCGGTGTTTCTGTAAGGTACATACGGTGGAAGAAGGACGCAAGTTTATCCGTACCCTCAATATAAGTGACGTGGAGAATATGGTCTTTTCATAATCGATCTGTACAATATCTAGGCGATTGGTTTTATCTTCAAAAACCTTTTTTAATACCATACTTCGACTCTGGCTCGGATAAGAGTTCCAAATGGTATAATACGCTTAGATGGAATGTGTGGATACTAGAAAGAGGCAAGTAATAAGGCTCACGCGAAGCTTTTATGGAAACACTTGTTCGAGTTGAGTAGTTTTGAAAAGGTTTTCCAGAGGCGTTCGGAAATAAGAAAGACTTTTTATTAATTTCAAGTACAGAATTCGATTGAGTGGATAAAGACTTGATTGTTTTGCAAACGAGATCAGTAGGAATTAAGAGTATTCATTTTTTAATCGATCGTTTTAACTTCCAACTATCTCAAATTTAGATTGTACTTTGTATGATAAATCCGAATACAAAGAGATGATATTTCACGAAAATTTAATGTAATTTTGAATACTATAATCTCTTTCGCGGTATTATATAAAATAAAAACTAAATTTCTAGTTACTGTAGTAATTGTAAAACTTTTTTGCTTTATTTTTCTATAGTAGTAACAGATGAATATATGTTCTTGATTATCTAAATAATTTAAAGAATAACTTGTAACTTGTATTGTGCAAATGGAATTTTGCTATTTTACTGTCTAAATAGTATACACTTATATTTATTGAAGCTATTAGCAAATCACTCAGTCAAGACATGTAGCTGATGTGCAGGGAGTCTGGCTAAAATAAACACAGACAGCAGCGACTCATTCACAAACTTTTGCATCGGGAATGATCGTTCTAGTCTACGTACTTTTTTTTTCTACATTCCTACTTCCTTTTATGTGTTTGAATATTCTGTCTATCGTATTCTTTTACTATGAACAGTATCACTCTTCGTCAATAAATAATACTCGCTAATATATATTTTAACAAAGCCAAGTCAGCTATTATACATTTTGGCACATGAAAGTCATCTACTTACCATAGAACATAAAAGGAATGATATTTTATGAAAATATAATGTATTTTCGATAATTTAGTGAAATTTGATTGAATTCCCATCTTTTAATTGTGTTTTTGAGAAATGAAAATCGATGTTTTGTTAGGTAACTCGATCCATCAAATCAGAAAAAACGACAAAAACTTTGTTCAATGTTTCGATTATCGACACCTTAGAGGAAAGTATGCACTTGTGCTTGAAAAAAACACAAATACGGATTCTTTCATTCTGT